TAAAATGATTTGAGCTACCTCCCTGCTCCGCACATCTCAGAACTGTCTATAATGATGCCTTGCATGGCCGTCTGGAAATTATTCCTTGTGCATATTTATGTGTCTCTGTATGTATCTGTTCCCAAACAAGATTTTTTTTTTTAAAGATTACTGAATTTTCTTTGCCAGCTACTATAAGGATATGCGAATGTGGAACTTTAAAAAAAAAATCTGTTTTTTCTAAAGTTAAAAGTTTTAACTTACTTTAAAATTTTCTTTATTGCATTAATCATTTAATTATTTATTGGCATGTGGGGGTATGTGTACCATGAGGTACCTGTAGAGGTCAGAGGACAAGTGGTAAAGAGCTGGTTCTTTCCTTCCACCATGTGGATCCCGGGGAACAAACACAAGGCTGCAAGCCCTTTTACTCACTGAGCCATCTTACTGAACCAATTTTTGGGAACTTTTTTAGTGCAATGGTTAGAAACACAGATTCCAGAGGCTGACCCCAGGGTGTCTCATCTTAGGACCCTTAACTTGTTTCGGCTTGCAAAGACCCTTTCTCGAAGTCTCATACATGGGTACTGGGGGAGGGAGATTTAGCACTTTTGGGAACACAGTTCAGCCTGGTGCAGCAGGTATGAGGGTGGCAGAGCTCACGTCGCCTCTGTGACCTCTCCATGCCTTCTCTGCTCCCTTGCAGCCCTGTGCAGAGTGTCTGGGCCTTGCCAGAACTCATGATGATAGGTGGGTTAGCATGGCTTTTTCCTAGTCCTCCCATCCCTCAAACCCTCCAATTTTTGTCCGAGTCTACACAAGAGGGTTCAGTTTTCTCAGGAAAGCTTCCAGGAGCTCACCAGGCAGCCAAAGCCTCTGGCTCTTGGCCAGGAAACTTCTATACTCGCCTCCAAGTGGCTGGCAGCCAGCCAGAGCCCAGGCTGCCATCCCATTGCTCTGAACCCCCAACAGGGTGTCTGTCTTCTTCCCACTTGGGTTCATTAGGCCTGCGACAGAGCCCAGACCTTCCTCACTGTTCCAGGGCTGCTCAGGACATCCCAGAGAAGCTGGGTGCTGAGGTGTACTGTGGACTTCTTGGGCAAGTGACCACAGGTACACAGAGGCAGCAGTGTCCTGGACAGCTGTGGGAGGGGAAGGTTGTGGGGCCCCTAGAGCCATTGCTCGAGCCATGCGTTGAAAGACATCACTCTTGGAGGGCTTCTGTTTGTGGCAGAGCTCCTCTATAACCCTGGTCTAGTTCCTTTGTGCTGTCGACTCTGTTCATGATGGCCCTGTCACTGTCACGTGTCTCGCCTGCTTGCTGCTTTATCTACAATCAAAGATTTCAGGGTACAGTGGCTCCAGCCTCTGCTGTCAGGAGGGAGGGCGTGGGTGTCAAGAGTCTCTGCTCTGCCAACAGATGGCAGGCACAGTGCCAAGAGGGTTCAGCCACCATCGCTGACAGCAGGAGTCACAGCCGCAGGCGAAGCTCAGAGTGGGCCAGCTCAGCGTGTGAGATCACGCCTCCTGCCTGTTCACCGCGACGGCTGAGAACACAGGCTCCCCTGTGTCATCTTCTTTAGCTCTGGCAGATACCATGTGGCTTTGTCCCTTAGTTTCGGTCACTTTCAACCTAATATGAAGATTACACCTCCCCGAGGCCTTGGTTTCTCCAATTTCTCTATACCTTGCCAGGAGACAAGGACTGTGGCTTTTGACCTGTTATAGAGTCCTCTAGGCCAAACAAAAACAAAAAAACAAAGAACAATTCCCCACACGCACTAGCAAAACAAAAAACAAACAAACAAACAAAAAAGAAAACATAATTGCTCTGAGCCAGCCCAGCATGGACCCTGAGGAACCTCAGAGCTGACTTTCCCTGTAAGCATCTTCATGTTGGGTTGACCCATGGTGCTTGTCACTGCCAGCTGTGTGGACCAGGCTGGCCTTGCCTGTTGATTCACCACCTCCCTGGGGTTCGTTACTTGGTTAAGAAACTTGGATCTGTCCTCTTGGCAACTGTCTGTGCTCATGCCATGTTTCCTACATGCTAGCACTCATGGGTTGCCACCAGGACCAGCTGTCTCGCACGCAAGCCAGCAGCACAGAAGGGAGAGTACCATTCACTCTGGTCCAATGAGCTGAGTCCTCATATCAAGTCTACACAGAGGGGGACTGTAACAGGAAGTAACAGGAAGAGAACACAGAAGCTAGTTCTGCTGAATTACAGGTAAACACTGTGCTAAGTCTTTAATAGACTCTGCAACAGATTGCCACAGTAATTCTGTGGGGAAAAAAGACCTTTTTTGTGTTTTTTTTGCAAAGACTTTTTTTTTTTTTTTTTTTTTAAAGGTAATTAACTGAAGCCAAGAGAGGTAAGATAATGAGCCCGAAGTCACACAGCCTGAATTCGGATCCGGGCTTCTGGTCCAGCAATTAGGCTTCATCTGAATGGGCTTCACAGGATGGGAAGAGCTTAATCTCACTTTCCCGAAACAGCAAAGTTAAATGTGAAACATGGCAAAAGAGCAGATTTTGCGGCGAACTGTCATACCTACCACTTGCCCTTAATGTTTTTCCCTGTTTGTGTTATTACAGGCCTTCATCTATCTGTAAGTTCACTCTGTTTTTGTGAGTTCCAGAGGAAGTACTAGACCTCCCTGAATGTGTTAGCATATGAGTTAACTACAGAGTTCAGTATTAGATTACTGTTCTTTATTGCTTTAATATAAAATGGATATGAGCCAAATAAACACGCGGGTGTGAATATACACTGCTTGAACTTCACATTGATTCATGGCATCTGTTTTCTTTGCCCCTGGATTTAATTTAGTGAGGGCATTTGTGATTCACCCATGCGGTTATTCATCATCGGTGGATCTCTTTATTGCTAGCTGTTCCCTTGTGTGGGGAACCCAGCTTCTTCATCCCCCCTCCCATCAATGGGTACCTGGGCCAGTTTTGAGTTATTGTAAGTTAAGCTGCTTGGCAGAGGTGTGTACATGTGTCTGTGTGCACATGCATAGGTCCACGTGCGTGTGGAAGGCAGAGGACGAGCTCTTCTTCAGGCATGTTCCATCTTGCTTTTTGAGACAGGATATGGTGGTTTAAATAAGAATGGCTCCTATGGGCTCATATATTTCTCTTGCTTAGTCATCATGGAGTGGCACTACTTGAAAAGAATTAGGAGGAGGTGTGGTTTTGTTGGGGTGGGTGTGTCCTTGTAGGAGGAAGTGTGTCACTGTGGGGAGGGAGAGCTTTGAGATTTCAAAAGCCCAAGCCAGGCCCAGTACCCTCTTCCTCCCTGCGACTGTGGGTCCACATGCAAAACTCTCAGCTCCTTCTCCAGCACCATGCCTGTCTGCCTGCCTGCCGCCACGCGCTCCCAGCCATAACCGTGGACGGCCTCTAAAACTGAGAGCAAACCCCAATTAAATGCTCTCCTTTATGAGAGCTGCTGTGGTCAAGGTATCTCTTCACAGCAATAGTAACCCTTGGACACTAGATCTCTCACTGACCTAGAACTTGCCAAGGAGGCTAAGCTAGCTGCCCAGAGAGCAAGCTCCAGGCATCTACCTGTCTCTACTTCCTCAGTGCCGAGACTGCAAATGTGTGTGCCACCATGCCCAGCTTTCTATGTAGATTCTTGAGTATCAAGTTCAGATCTCATGCTTGCCTGGAAAATGCTTTGTTTCCAGTCATCCAGACCTGGGTAGACGTTTTCAACTCTAATTCAGCTATTTTTATTTTTAATACAATGGTTGTTTTGGACATCTTGTCTCATGCGTTTTTCTTATCTGCTGGAGTGAGTCAAGGGCCCTATGGGAACTACAGGCAGTTCAAGCAGAAGACTTGGAAAAGAAATGTAGATTCTATAGAGGTGATGGACAGCTGTCTTTGTGGGGTGTTAGTGGGGCTCCTTTCAGGATAAGAATGCCTTCAATAATAGGGCACTGACCTTAATTCTTTAGGAAGTTGGACCTGCAGAAGATTTTAGAGCCAGGAAGCACAATGTTAGGTCCCCGTGACTAAAGCTAGAGTCTGGAAGTTTCCATTTGGTCATTGGAAAGCAGCAGTCTGTAACTCATGATGCAGAGAGGACCCTGTGTGTGTGTGTGGGGGGGGAGGTGTCCACCTCTATAAGTCTGCAGGGAACAGGGTGTTAGAGGGTCCTTCCCTCAGCGTTGGGACTCTAGGGGAGCTGCTTCAATACCTACAGCCAAGGCTCCCAATGACTCCAGAGCTCCGGAAGTCCCCTGTCCTCCTGGAAGTTCACCTTCCACATTCATACCTGCCCCCATCCCTGAAGTTCCTCCTGGACACCTCTCCGCCAGACAGCTGACATTTTCAGTCTAAAATCACTGTGTGCTGGGGTCCTCCTTGGCCTTCCAGCCCCCCTAGCCCTTCCCCTGCAGTTGTCCCATCCAAACTACTCCACCTAGCACCTCCTTTGTCTCTGAAATGAAAATGCCCGGATGGTTTGTGGGGTTCCCACCCTCTTCTGTTTTGCACTCTGTGGTCACCTCAGCCTATATTTTCAGTATGGCCCAATCAATCACTCTTAACCCGGTGACCCACATGTGGCAAATCACATGTGGTGCAGGTCTCATTCACGGCGCTAACTACATGGGCGTGGGCAAGTCAAAATGGAGCTCTCTGTATACAAGTCATGTGTGTAACTCATCGTCTGCCAGCTGTTCTTTACTAAAAGATTTCAAAACCCTCCTTCGGGGTCTACTCAGATGCCAACATGCTTCTTTGAGTTCACCTGGGCCAGTGTGCCCACCCTACTCCCGTTACTTTTAATCTCTTCTTGGGCCTTAGCCGGCTGTGTCTGTCTTACTTGCTATGATGATAACACGCCTTAGGTGGAGACTCACTGTTGATACCATTCCCCAAAAGGGCCCTGGCCACACAGATGTTAAATGAGCAAATAGGGTTGATTCAATCCCTAGTTGTTGTCCACCCTTCCATGGCTCTGAAGTGTGCACCGACCGTTTGATTCTGTGTCCTGTTCTCAGTGCTACTCCAGATGCTGGCAAAGGAGAGGGAGAGGAAGATGAGGAGAAAGACGGCATGAGGCTCCGTCCGCCAACCACCCTAAAGAACTGCATCTCACGCCGGGGCATCAGTGTCCTGGAGAAGCTGGTGAAGACCTGCCCTGTGTGGCTGCAGCTAGGGCTAGGCCAGGCGGAGGCTGCCAAGATCCTGCAGCAGGAGGTTGCTGGGGTAAGTCTGTTCTGTCCACCCTGGATCGCACCCTACAGAAGTGGGGGCATGTAAACAACTGCTTTCTGCTCTTCTTCTTGCCTCTGTTTGTCTGACATGGAGTTTGTCTGGGATGAATGGTGGGGATGTGAGGCTTGTGCTAGCAGGGGCTTCTGGGGCATTCAGACACCAGAGTTATAGGACTGTGCTGGCTCTCTCTGACTTTGAGAGCTGGGTCACTGATCAGGGACATGAGTGTCAGAGGTAACATGATTTATATGCCCCTTGTTTATGGACAAAATCGAGAGGCCATGTGGCTCATCAGCAGATGTCCTGAAGTTGGGCTTTGAGGTGGGCAAATGGCCCTAGGTTTCTGGGACTCATTTTTGTTTCTTTGAAATGGGAGCTTTAATAATCTCCTCTCTATATGCTGTCCCAGTTCATGGGGAGATGGAGTGAACAGTAGATGGTGGATGGGTGGGTGGGTGGATGGGTAAATGGGTGGGTGGATGGGTAAATGGGTGGGTGGATGGGTAAATGGGTGGGTGGATGGGTAAATGGGTGGGTGGATGGGTAAATGGGTGGGTGGATGGGTAAATGGATGGATGGGTGGGTAAATGGGTGGGTGGGTGGGTAAATGGGTGGGTGGGTGGGTAAAGGGTGGGTAAATGGGTGGGTAGGTGGGTAAATGGGTGGGTGGGTGGGTGGGAGTATAAATAAATTGATGGCTGGATAGACAGAGGTGACCAGGTGACAGTTGATAGAATGAGTCAGAGCGCCTCCCCTGCCCCTGTCACCCCGCACACATATTTTCTCAAATGCTATTCCTTTCAAAAACAGCATGTAATTTGTTTTAATTATAAAAGTGATCCATACATGCATTCATTATTTAAAAAAAAAAAAACAAGCTGGACAGAAATGAACAAAATTGTCAGAAGTAAAATGTCTAATGAAGGATTTTTCCACCTACTCAAGGCCAACTCACTCCCCAGAAGGCTTTTTAAAAAATGTTAAGGCAGAATACACATCGCATCACACCACATCGAAACAGACATTTAAAGTGCACCACAGGCGTTTAGTGTGCTCTGGGGCCATGCAGTTGCCACCTCCATCTGGTCCTGAGACATTCTTTCTTCACCTGTTCCCATTAAGCAGCTCCTATCCACTCCCCCTCCCCCAAGACCCTCTCTGCTTCCGGATCATCTGACAGAGACCAGGGTTGTACCCTTCAGGCGTCTCCCACAGTGTCCCACACCCTAGCAGCCCTATTCCCCATCGTGTCCCAGGTTCTCTGCCACTGTCTTCTCAGGAGTGGACCATGACCCCCAAACTACCTAAGGCAACTATTGCTATTACTTCCCAGGGGCCACAGGGAGGGAGCAGCAGAGCCAGGATTTGAACCTGGGCTGTCGTGCTCCTAGAATCTGTGTCACACTGTGTCTGTTTGACGCTGGGGACTCTTGCTTCCTGGCTGTTCTCACCTGGGTGTGGTTTGTGGCACTTCTCTGTCTCAGGCACTTCTCAACCTCAGTCTAAGGCTTGGGGCTCAGACTCTTAGCCCCAAATAGATCAGCTGCACAGAGCTGTCACTTATGCCTGATGTGGGAGGACTGGAAGCCAGAGGACTGGAAGCCAGAGGACCTAGCCAAGTCAGCCATCCTGCCACTAAGTGAGTGGAGGGCTGGGAAGGTGCCCAGAGGTCAGCCTGAGTGTCCATAGATGCCTTCTTCCCCAAGGGGTCCGTGGCAGGAAGCAGGGAGGCAGGGAGGTGATGTGGTCCAGAAGAAAAACCTACCGTTTATTCCTCTCTAAAGGTCTCCAGTCCTTCAGTGACTGGGGCCCACGCAACAGGTACCCAGAGCAGCCTGTACCTCCCCCTGTGAGGCAGGATTCACTGCTCCATTCTCCTGAGGAAGCAGCTTACAGGTGGGCCAAGGAGCAAGCTGGTGCTCGTGTGTTGTCTGCTTTTCTGTTGTTGTGACAAACACTGTGACCCAGACAACTCACAAAAGGAAGAGTTTATTTGGGCTTACGGTTCCAGAAAGAGTCTGTCATGGAGGAGAACTGGCAGGTGTGGAATAGTAAGAGTTAACATCATGACCGACAAGCGCAGAAGCAGAAGGAGAAATCTGGCTATAGAAAAGTCCCTTACACTCAAGGCCCACCCCAGTGGCATCCTTCCTCCAGCAAGGCCATGCCTCCTGAATCTACCCCAAAAATGCCCCCAACTGGGGACCAAGTATTCAAATGCCTGACCCTATGGGGGCATTCATCATTCAAACTACCACAGCTGGCTGTCAGGAAGGGTATGCCCAGTTTGTGGGAACGAGAGCCTAGTCACGGAGCAGTAAGGAACAGATCCACCCCACCCCAGCCCCTGGAAGAATATTTGATGGGAGTCATATCACAACCAGGGCAACAGACGTGGCCTTGTCAGAAGTATTTCTGTGGCTAGAGGTAGGCTCAGTGGTATCATAAATGCTGTGTTTAGCAAGCACCCCAACTCCCTGTACCATCCTTTCTTCAAAAAGCACAAGAACCTGACATCTTCCAGGCCCCTAAGGGCAGAGATGGCTGTTTGGATTGTTTGTGAGCACCATCCCTGTGCTGTCCAGATGTCATCTTGTCATCAAGAAGGCTCTGCTTTTATCCTATTTCAGGAACTGTGAGGAGGCCTGAGTGTTTCCTCAGTGCCGGCCTTTTAGAGCCACTGGTATCCAGAAAAGAATCAAGAAACGAGGTTGGCAGAGGTTATCCACACTAACTGACCCCCCCCCCCCCTGGAAAGCAGCGTGGAGCACACACCTCAGAGCAGACCAGCCTGATGGTCTGGAAGCTTCGTGCTGTTAATCCGTCTATTATAATTACAGAGGTTTGACAGTTCATTTTTCCAGCCCTCTCTCTCTGCCTGTTCTGTGAGAACAATTCCCTGCCGGGAACAGCCCTGCGTTAAAGGGATGTGGAGCTGGCTTCAGGAGGCAGGACTGGAAGCTAGGAGTCTAGGGATGGCCCAGTGCAGAGTGAATAGCAAGGCTGCTAGCCCTGGGGAGTGAGGTCACTCACCTACCTCAGGTTATGAGGCTAGTGAGTGGGGACTAGGCCAGCAAAGGAGAAACAGGAAAAAAGCAAACACAGTCACCCTCAGAACACCATATTTTACCTGCACATTAACTATGGATAGAAAACGTTTTGGGGGACAGTTCATCTACACTGAACAGTGTAGACTCTAAATGGTACAGCATAACCCCCATTTACACATCACTGGCCTGGCTCAGAGATGACGAATGGTCCCAGAATGGTTTAGAGAGTAGAGGAGGATGTGAGCAGGTTGTATAGAGATTCAGGTGTGTTAGCTAAGGACAGGGATATATTCTGAGAGGCAATGACCACAACTTCTTACTTAAGCTAAGATGGCCACTGCCCATATTATTTGATTCTTGTACCTTGGTCCCTGTCTGCTAGGCACAATCAGTATCCACCTTTTCCAGTTGGGGTACAGAGATGTTGACTCGTTTGCCTAAAGTCACACAGTTAGGAAGAGTGGGGTTGGGGAATATAGTTCAGGGAGTTGTAGGCCAGCCTAAACCACAGTGTAAGACTCTATTCCAAAGAAAAAGGGAGGAGAGGCTCATAGTGAGATCTTCAGAGATGCTGGGAAAGCCCTTTGCACACTATGGTTCCCACAGAACCAGTGTGGTGATACACTAGTTTGAAAACCACAGACACCATGGGTGGTCCCTGTGCTGTAAGACATTCCAGAGATCTCCTGAGTCCACCTCCCGAAGCACTGTGAGAGGCAGCCTTTGTCGTGCCTGGAGCCAGCTCTCTAGCCCCCAGTCTGTGTGACCTTGGCCACATCTACTTCCTTCCCCAGGACCTGCCTCTACTCCCAAGCAGCCTCTTCTCTGATAAGGAGTTGGGAACACTGTGGCCCTTTTTAAAAGGAAAACAAAATCAATGTATCCAGCAACAGGGCAGTCAGAAAGTTGCCTTTATTTGTTCTGCACTCAGGCTGGTTTGTTATTTTAGTGAGAATGGCTTTAGAGCTATGGAAAAGTTGCAAGCATAGAACAGAGAGTGCCCTGTACCCTGAGAACAGAGCATGCCCTGTGCCCACCCACTCGCAGGCTCCCCCCCCCCCCAGCAGCTAACCAACACTTGCCACAGTTACTGTACCAGTCCTGATACATTAGTGTCAGCTAAAGTCTGATGTCCTCTGTCTGCTCTAGGACCTCTCCAGGACGCATATGCCATGCATTCAGCATACTCCTTTGACTCCTCTTGGTGGTGACAGATTGTTTTTCAGACAGATTTGAGGACAGATTAGGCTTTTAGCAGGATGTCCTCCGTTGGAGTTTGTCTAGTGGTTACGTGTAGATTGACCAACCTGGGTGGAGTAACAGGGGCAAAGCCAGTGCCAGCCCATCATTCAAAGGTCCTATGTTAGCCATGGTTTTTGTTGCTGTGATGAGTTTGAGAGAGACCTTTTAAAAGACAAGGATTTACATGGGTTCATGGTTTGAGAGACCTTAGCTCGTATTTAGTTAACACTGCTGTGGACCTGAAGTGATGCTGAACAGTATGACAGAGCCAATGATAGGCAAAGCCCAGTACCCCTTTGTAGACAGGAAGTAATGCCCATCACCCCATGGTGGACAGGAAGTGATAGAGCAAAGCCTATCAACTCACAGCAGTCAGGAAGTGATGAAGCAAAGTCTAACAACTCTTGGTGGACAGGAAGTAACAGCAAAGCCAATCGTGTCATAGTGGACAGGAAGTAACAGCAGAGCCCATCGCCTCATAGTGGACAGGAACACACACAGCCAAACAGGAAGGAGCCAGGGTCATATAAGGACCCACCCTCAATTGCCTGTTTCCTTTAGTCAAGCCACATCTAAGGTTCCCAGAGCCTCTGAATGAACACCCTAAGTCAGGGACCTCGGCTTTAAGTCTTCAACACATGAATCTGTAGGGGACATTTCCTGCACAATAGCAATGCAACTTGTCCTGATGGTGTTGGCTTTGCTTGCCCCCTGCCAGTTTGGGACCTCTCTCTCCCACACCTCACTCTTACCCTCCCCTTTCCCTGTTACTCTTTGGAAGGGAAGCCCCTCCGCTCTAAAGAGGGGCGGTGCACCCTGCCTCCTGTGTTCAGGTCCCAGCCTTGAGTTCCTGCCTTGACTTCCTTCAATAATGGACCATGAGTGATAAGATGAAATCTTTTTCCTCCCCAAGATACTTCTGGTCACAGTGTTTGTCACAGCAATAGAAAGCAATCAAGGACATGGTTCTTGGGTCCCTTTGGCCCCAACACTCTGTGATTGTGAATGCAGGTGTCCTTGCCTGCTTTCTGTTTGGAGCACTTCCTTATTTTCTGGCCATACAAGATGCTGTTATCTTGTGCACTCGCCTCAGCCCAGGGTCCAGCCACATCCTGTGTCTCCAAGGACTTCTGCTTCCTTTGGTTAAGGAACTCTCCTAGAAGCCAAGGTCTTTATGTGACCTGGTTATGTTACTATTGAGTTGTCCTCATTTCTGGGCTGAGAGTTTTCATTTATTTATTTCTCTATTTACGGGGGAGTGGGACACGGGCCGTGGTGAGAGTATGATGGCTCTCAGAGGATGACTAGATACTCTTCAATGAGAAAAGTCTCTGTGGTAGAGAGGGTTTAGCTTAAGAGCTGTGGGAATGCATGCCGTCCGACGGAACGGCAGACGATGGTTTGGCAGATGGCAACAGTGCTAATTCCCTTCCGACAAGTTCCTTGGGTATACGGGGAAGTCCTATTTCCCTCTGGTGGGCTGAAGCTGAGACCAGGAGAAAGGTAGCATTGAAAATGGTGGGGAGGATCAGTACCGGTCCCCTCTCTCACCCCTGTGGCAGCCCTGTGAACAGGAACACACTACACTCTACATTCATCCACACTTAGGAATCAACCCTGTGAGGGGAACACAAACCCTGAGTAGCAGCTCATTCAATTCCATCACTGGCTGACTTCAGAGGCCCCAAATATTACAGCGCCAGCCCTCAGCTTAGTCCTTTGGCTTGGCTGAAAAATCTAGTATTCTTCCATCTAACATCCTCTGACCTGCTGGGCCTTGAGTGGGGGTACTCTGTGTGGGGCTGGGACATTTGGATCTCCCCCCTTCAGTGCTTGAGAAGCTAATCCATCCATTGACACCAAGTTGTGTGTCTCCTCTCTGAAAGAGGAGCTCTTGGCACGCTTTTAGAGCTCCCAAGGTGACTCTGAGCTGTGACCAGCCTTGAGAAATGCTATCTGGGCCTTGCCATGGCCATGATGTAAGTCAGAGGAATGACGAGCTACGGTTTCCCATGGCTCATAAACGAAACTTGGTCCATTTCCAGGTCTCTGATCTTCTGCCTGCACTCCTCAGCTCTGTTGGGGTGGGAGCTGGGGTAAGGACCTTGGCTGCAGGTGCCTAGGATGGCCCCTGGGCTGCCCACCTAGCCTTGGAAGTTTTTTGCTTTGACCAAATAAGATGCAACCTCATAGGCATGATGGGAAATTTCTCCAGGTACAAACAGCTCTGGTCCAAAATGAAAGATGAAAACAAAACCATTTCAGGCCCTTGCTACCAGATCTAGCCAGCAACATTCTACTGAGGTCTCATTGCCTGGGCAAGAATGAAAAAGACTGTGTAAGGATACCCATCCCAAGCCTGCCCACCTCCCCTAGGTCAGGGTGGGGCTGGCAGGTCCAGCCTGGAATCCCTTTCAGCCCGCCTCTGAAACCCAGGGCATAAGAGCCTCCTGCTAGCATAGCACCATGCCTGGTTGGAAAAGGTCCTTACAAATGACAGATGCCCCCGCCTGCCTCAGGAAGTTCCCAGGGTTTTGAAGCTCTGTACCAAGGACTGGAAACAAAGACCAGCTGTATTTCATATTGTGCCACACCCACTCACACACTCATTCACACGCATTTCCTCCAGTCCCGCTGGTTCCCATGGACCTATGGGCAAGGAGATAAATTGACCTTGAACCTCTGTCGAAGAAACAACGTGACTTCATATTTGAGAGACATCTTTAGGACAGTTAAAGTTCAGTGTCTCGACCATTGTCTCTGGGCAGGGAGTGAGGCGTAATGGAAGCATCTAGAAACAAGCAGATAGACGAGCTACTCCTCTTCCCTCCTCTCCACTTCTTCTCTTGTTCCCTTCACCCTGCCCAGAAGAGAGGTTGACCCCCCCCCACACACACACACCCGTTTCTCACTTCAGCTAACTTCCAGAAGGGCCATGCATACTCACGAAGGAACAACCTTTAAGAGCCTGGGACCCAGAGTCCAACAGCCTGAGTTTCAAACCCATATCTGTTTAACCCCAGCACTTGGGAGGCAGAGCCAGGTGCTGGATCTCTGTGAGTTCAAGAGAGCAAGTTCCAGGACAGCCTCCAAAGCTACACAGAGAAACCCTGTCTCAAAAAAAACCAAATAATAATAACAATAATAAACCATTTCTAGCATTTCTTGTTCTATCTTAAACATTACTTGGCTCTTCTTACCTGTTTCCTCATAACCACACCCCCTGTAGAATTAGCATGTAAGTTCATGTTTGGGGCTGACTGGGGAACTGGTACGTGTCAGCTACAGTGGCTCAGGGGCAATGAGCTCATGTGTGCTTTATTAATAACACTACACTCATGCTAGGGTGATCTGGCAGTGTCATGGTGGGATTAATAAGCAGTAGCCATGGCAGCAGCATTTGGAACGTAGGGAGAGGTCTTCTCCAGAGCCTCCCACACTTGGGGATGTCCTGGTGTCCTTGCTCCTCAGCCAGCCCTCAACAGCTTGGCCACACTCCTGTCTTGGGAATTCCAGCTGAGCTGTTTGGGACCTGAGCCCAGGAGACAGAGTCCAGGGGCAGAGTGATGATGGAGGGAATGGAGACACAGACCAAGTGCTTCCTTCCTTTGGCAGTGTGTGAGTAAGGTTTCTCCGCCAGCCCCCCTGGTCCCGTCGCTATGCCGGCCCCAAATAACCCCAAATAACACACAGAGACCCTGTATTAGGTATAATGCTGTTGGCCAGTTACTTGTTTCTTATCGGCTAGCTCTGTCTTAATTATTAACCCATTTCTATTCATCTAAGTGTTTCCACGTGGTCTCTTCTTACCGGAGAGTGGGCCAGAACCTCTGTTCTCTTAGGTCTCTACCTCTGACCCCTCTTACTACTTCCTATTTCCTCCTTGTCTCCTAGTCCCTCCTCTCTTTCTTTCCTATTGGCCAACAGTGCTTTATTCATTAACCAGTATGAGAAAAATATTTACAGAATGACATCTCCCATCAGCAGTGTATTTGAGGAGGCTGGGAATATTCCAGAAGGTATCACCTGGGATGAGCTGGGAAGGGCCAGCTGAGCCTGAAAGGGACAGTATTAAACAACAATTTGTAACAAAGGAGAGGCCTTTCTCATTGTGATTGCACCTGGGAGGCCACTGTCTCTGTGGACCATTTGGAGTAGAGCCACTAAGTGGTCACAAGTGACACAGCTTAGTCTAAATAGTTGGTACGGGTTCTGAGCTGTCCGTGGTCAGCCAGTTCTGGCTTAGTAGAGCACAGACACACATGGCCCCTGGCCCAGAGGGTTGTCTGTTGGTTCTGTCAGCTCAGACAGGATCTGCAACAGAAGACAGCCTCAAAGAACTTCCTTTCAGGTCAGTGCAGAGAGCCCTTGTGTGGTGAAGGCCCTGAGTATCCTGAGACGCTGTCCCCAGAGGCCTCTCTGTTGTTGCAAACTGTCATTGTTTAATGTCCTGGGCGGGCCAACCTTCCTGAGTTTATCCTGTGGTTTAGGCAGGCATTGAGTTAGTCACTACATCCTCCCGTAGTATTGGGCAGTGATGGTCAAGGGTCTCTTTGTTTCTTACCTGTAAAATAGGGGCAAAAGCAAAACTCACACCATGGGGTGATGGAGAAAGTAGAACCAGTTAAGTATATGATGTACCCTGACAATTCTGCCAGAGAGTTCCAGGTTAACTGGTTGCTTCTTTTAGCAGGGACTAATAGCAAAGCTCTGTAATTCAAGCTACTCAGGAGGATAAATAGGAGGATCAAAAAAAAAGTTCAAGCAAAGGCTCTTGTGGGTTACAGAACATGTTCAAGTCCAGCCCAGGCATCTTAGTGAGACCTTGTCTCAAAGAATAGTGAAAGTAAGGCTGGGGCTGGGACTTAATTAGTGGAAGGGCCTTGCTACTTAGCGTGCGTGCGAGAGGCTCTGCGTTCACTCTCCAGCACCATAAAATCCAAACAAAATATTAGCTTTATTGAGGGTTTTGTTTGTTTGGTTTGTTTGCTTGCTTGCTTGTTTTTGGGTTGTTGTTGTTGTTTTTGAGATGGGAGTTTCTCTGGTAGTCCTAGCTGTTCTGGAACTAGCTCTGCAGACCAGGTGGGCTTCGAACTCACAGAGATCAGCCTACATCTTACTCTTGAGTGCCGGGATTAAAAGCTTGCGCCACCACTGCATGGCTGGTTTTTTTTTTTTTTTTTTTTTTTGCTTTCAAAGGGGGAAAAAAGTATGAATTTTCTGATACCTGTGATTGCTTCCATCAGGCATTCCCACCTCCAGCCCCTCCTACCCCAAATCATCTGGGTGCTAGAGCATGAGTTAAAATTTAACCGACTGCAACCATCAGGGCTTTTCTGAGCCTGGACCACCCTCATACAGAGCCCCACCCCCACTCCTTGCCTCAGCAGTGGAGAAACTGAAACTCTAGGGTCTCCAGTTTGGATGTGGGTCAGGTCCACTTGCCTCAAGTGTGACCACTTCCCCTTCAGGGTCGTTTCACATACTCTTTGGATGATTTCCACCTTCCTGCCCCTCTTTCCTCCACCAGAGCTTCCGATTCACTGAGCCTTTGCTTCTACCATTGCAGACGTTCCTAGTGTGCCGGGACAGCAGCCGGAAATGCCTGGTGCTGTGTGTCCATTTCCCTTCCCTGAAAGACGACTCCACCTCGGTCCTGGAGTACCCCATCAAAGAAGAAAAATCTAGTAAGTTCTCGCCTCAGCTTCCTCCCTCCAAGCTGCAGCAGTAGAATCTGCTAGCCACAAACCCTCCACTCTGCCCCCATGCGTAAAACTAGAATGGGGAAAATCATCATTTTATGGTTGGGTCCAAGGTAGTTGGGATTAGGTAAGAGTGTGAGAGGAGACATGTGTTAGTTGATATGTCTCCTATGCCCACATTATATGGACTTGACCTTGACCAGGTTTGTTTTAAACACAGCTGGTCACTCAGATGTTAAAATTACCAGACATGGTAGCACATGCTTGTATTCCTAGCCCCATGAGACGGTGGCAGGAAGGTTCGCTGCAACTTGAAGGCGCAGCTATGCAATGTTAGGTCACAAATGTCAAACTAGAAAGGCTCTATTTTAAAACGTCAAGCAAAGTCACTGTTAATTTTCACTTTCTCTGCCTATGTCTTGGTTGGTTTGCAGTTGAGTTCTCTTGTGTGTGAGCACAAAGGAAGATAGAGAATGGGAAGAAAGAGGAGGGAATAAAATGTCTGGCCCTGGGTTCCAGGGGCACATTAGTACATTCTCACATGGTGGCCAGGGGGTGGCATGAAGACACTCAGACTTTTCCTTTTATCAAATGAATCTAACAGTCACTGTCCTACCTGTCCCGGAGTCTTAAGGGTCACATGTGTAAGCACTTCTAAAGGCAGACGTTCTGGGTGTGCACAGGACTGCCAGAACAGAGCTGGGCTAGTGGGGAGCCTGTTTGGGGGTCTTTAATTCAGGTTGGCCTCAAACTCATAGCCCCCTACCTCATCCTCTCAGTATCAAGCTTAGAGGTGCACACCACCATGCCTGGGTCCCAGGGTGGGTTTGTACTGATAAAGGCATCTTGGGGCTTTGGATCTCTTCTGGCCTAGGCTCACCCCTTTGAATCAGCATGCCTCCTTTCCAAGGCCATGCGTTCACATGTTGGGTTTTAAAATCCAAGAAGCCAGTAACAAGAATCCATAGGATAAAGCTGGGCGGTGGTGGCACACACCTTTAATCCCAGCACTTAGGAGACAGAAACAGGTGAATCTCTTGAGTTCGAGGCCAGCCTGGTCCACAAAACAAGTTTCCAAGACAGGTAGAGCTGTTACAAAGAGAAACCCTGTCTTGGGGGGAAGGATTCATTCCAAGCACCAGCTGATACCCATAGAAACAAGGGTGTTCCCTGAACCTTGTCACCCTCATCAGCCGCAAGTGACAGCAGCTAGGGAAGCTACAGTAAATACTCTCCTGCTACTGAGAGAATACATAGATGAATAAGGTGGAGGCCCTGGCCTCGGGGGTCTCCAGTCAGGTGGGTGGGGCTTGTGCTAGAGCAGGGCAAACAGCAAACAAATACCGCTTGCTTTGTCCTAACATCGCTTGACAGGGACTCCTGTGGAGGGGTGTGGCAGACCCAGATCCTCCTTTCTGTGGGAAGAAGCTGGCATCTAAGAGGAGGAAGCTTTAGTACTAGGAACTGAATCTGTGAAGCTGCTTGTGTTAGTTCAATCAAAGGCTGGTTTTCTACATAAGGAAAGCAGGGCAGGTTCCCCGTCCTGGGAGGGGTCTTTCCAGAGACTGGGACCACATGGACAAAACACATGTGCCCGTCACATACTTGTCACGTGGTTTCGGAGTGAGCATCTCCTGGCGCGGGAACACGCAGCACTTGCCTTTCAGGGCATCAAGTGAGATAAGAGACAGAAGTGGAAAGGTATTTACTGTCATGTGGAATGTGGCCATGTGGAAAGTCAGCCCTGCCTCTGCTTAAGTTGCAGAAAGCGAATTTCCAAGCTCAGGCAAGATGTGCCTCCCCCCAGGGCCCCTGCCTGCACCCTGTTCCTCTGCCACCTCCAGAATGTGACCTCCATATTTTAGGGTTGGGTTCAAGGCAACTGTTGTACTGGGAAAGGAGTCTGGCTGACTCTTGTACCCATATTTTATTGGCTAAAACTCGGTCACATGACCAAACCCACCTGCAAGGGACACTGGGAAATGTAGTCAATGGTGTGCCCAGGCAAGCAGAGCTGCTGGATTTTAATGAACTAAGAGTTGCTCCCTGAGTATGAGGGGTAGAGGTGTGGGGCTGGGAAAGGACTGTGGAGTCAGGGGGTGAGGATGGGGGGGGCAGCGGTGCTGTGGTTTTACTAAACTACTGGAGTAAGTGGTGTCCTTTGACTTGGAACGGGTGGAGATGTTTGGGTGGTCTCCTGTTTTCCAAGAAACCTGGATCATTTTTCTTATGGCCAGGGGAAGGTGTCTCTGGCCTGTGTTTGTGACCCTCAGAGAAAGTTGTCACACCTCTTACTGAGAGTCATGACTCCTGGGGCTTGGTTGCCACACATCAGTTACCTGAACTCTTAGGGCCCCAACTGCCTTGAGTGAGTTTTAGCTTGTAGGATTGGAAGAGTGCTCGGGAGGGGGTGTGCCCGGGGCCCTGTGGAGAGAGTCCTGGTTCAAGGCAGGGTGCCTGAGGTTTTCGAGTGGCGGGGATAGTGGAACGGGCCCAGGAACTGTCTAGAGTCCTGCTCTGCTCTTCTGTCCTCCAGGCCTTTGGGGCCATCACATCTAGGTCTCTGCACCGTAAACACAGCCCTCCCCTTGCCAGGCAGGGTGGTGGTTTTATTCCATTACCACTTTCCAATTCAGAGCCCGTGGAAGGCAGACAGGAATAGGATGGTGGTGAGTAGGGTTAAAACAGGAGTGGGGTGGAGGTACTAGGGTTAAAACAGACCCAGTTCAGAAGCATCGCAGGCATGGAAAAGGGCCCACAGTACAGAGCTGGCCCAGTCCCAATTCAGCTGGCACTGGTGGAAATTTATAGCAAGGTGGGGGCCAGTGGCTGGGTGATTCAGTGGGGTGCTGGCTGCTTCTAAGGGAAGGGAAACAAGAAAAACCCCGTTGGGTCTAGATGGTGATCAGAGAGACGGGGTAGAGGTTCCTGCCACAGTTAGAGGGGTTGTTGCTAAAACAGGAAGTATATGGAGAGGCTTCTGAGAAGGCCCAGGAGCCTGTGACAGTTTGGTTGAGTGAAGTTTTGTTAAGGCAGATGGACAGTGTCACTAGAGCCCTGGCGGCCCCACTGAACTGGGCTAGGCTGCTTGTTCTCTCCATAGGCAAATTAAACAGATAAGTAATCATGAAAAGACGAGAGTGGCTCAGTGTGGGGACAAATAAAGAGACGCAGTGACGGTCCCCCAGAAAGTCAAGCTTCAGGGTCCACACATGAGGTTCAAGTTGAAGGTAAGCAGTCCTGGCCAAGGGGTGTGACCATCCCTGACCCATCCTTGACCCCATCATTGTCTGGATCTCAGTGTGCCCTGCAAGGTTGTTTGGGGCGTTAGCAGAACTGTGGAATCTGCCCGAAATGAGCCCTCCTCTAGCTGCCACCAGGGCCCCAGCTTTTGTCTTCTCCTAATGACACTTCAGTTCCTTGGAGTCAATGACTCCAATAGTGTGCTAGCCCAGAGAAGGGGCACACGTGTCTCTTGAGAATAACTTCATTACACCAGACCATTCAGAAATGGGAGCACTAACATCTCAGGTTCTTGGTCTCCTCCAAGGGCCACGTGGTAGAATCCTCTGCATTTTAGGCTGTAAATAAACCCAGCTTTGCCCTGAAGGTAATCAAAATCACCCATGTAATCTTTAATCCTTATTCCTGCACATTTACCACAAACACAGAGATGCCCGTGGTTTGTCTATTTTGTTCTCTCTTCACATTACTCCGATGTTCCCAAACCTCTTGGCCTTGAGGTCCTGCACTAGAGCAAGGCCAGTGGTTGGGCTGTTTCCCTGTCTCAGCAATTCTAACACACACGCACAAACACACACACGCACAAATGCACACACATACACCACACCGGCCCTGACATCAGGACTCGACACAGACTGTGGGAGCCACACAGCCTGGCAGCCTGGTTACCTTTCACCTCTGCCTGCTGCCAGTTGCGTGGCAGGGGCAAAGGCTCCGCCCCTCCAGGCCCTGGCACCTATGTCTGGAGCGTAGCAATGATGGTACCTTTGTCAGAGTCCCGGAAGGAATGTGTTGTCCAGATGACATAGGATGTGAGACTCCGTGGTCAGGGTGACTACAGTGGAGTGGCCCGAGGAGGAAGTGGGAAATGAGAAGGCCTAGGCCTAGCACTGGAGCTTTCTGGTTTCCCCACACAGAGTGTAGGGAGGAGGCCAGGGGGTGCCCCAAAAGTGAGTCTTGCTTTGACCACAGCTATGATTTGAAACATTTAGAATCCCCTTTGTTTTGCTTTTTTTTTTTTTTTTTTCTTCCAAGACAGGGTTTATCTGTGTATCCCTGGCTGTGTCGAAATTCACTCTGTAGACCACCAGGCTGGCCTACATAGAACTCACATAGATCGGCCTGCCTCTGCCTCCCGAATGCTGGGATTAAAGGCGTGCACCACCACCACCTGGCTTCCCCCTGATTTTGTGAGCTGGGCTGAGCTTGTAGCGGGGACAGACTGCCCTAAACCCTGTGCTTATACACAATACAACATGGATGTACTGTAGTACACATATGATTATGACACACATATATGAAGTAACGTGTGTGTTTTAGGTCAAGTTGGAGACATCAGCACTTGGGGAACAGCCCATCTCCTGAGCGAGTATGGTGAATTCCTGTGCTGTTTGGTATGGGGATCATCACCATTAGCTGCAAGGGAGGGCTCTCGGGGTGAGTCCTCCTGGGCAGTAGAGATGCATACGGGCATGACAGAGTGTTGTCAGAAGGCCTTTAACTTCTCTCCATACTCTTGAGCATGATTGTCACTGGCTGAAACCCTAGGATGACCTGTTTTTGAATGAAGATGGCTTAAGGCCATGAACAGGAGAGAAACTGTTATTCATAAAGGAGAGATTGGTGTGGAGACTCTGTATTTTAGCAGAAGGTACTGCAGGCTTGATTGCCTTGTGGGGGACCTTGCTGATTTGTCATTGCACCCCCCCCCCTTCTTTAGGACATGAATTATAGACAGGATG